TCATGGCTGCCAGATTATTTTCCAAACCCATGTTCTGGTATTGGATGTGCTGAACTACTTCGTCAGCATTTTGGTTTCTGTTAACTAACCTTACCTCTGGGGCTATAACCCTAGGTTCTTCGACAGGCTGCTCCAATTGTGCCCTAAGGTTTTCTTCGACAGGCTGCTGGACTTGGTTGATAGTGGTTTCTTCCTCTAAGAGTATACCTTGGTTTCCCCTTATTTGCGCCCTTTGGGGCTGTCGAATAGGTTGGGGTACCCCAAAGAAGTCAGCCAGACGCGTCATTTGCGCTGTCATCTGCTGATTCGATTGGGTGGTGTTTTGTATTAGAGGATTCAGCACTGTACTTAAAGTTTGTGCCAACATTTGAACCATATCATGGTTGCTTTCGTCCATTTGTTGCCTCAAGACTGCTGTCGAGGCATTTGTAAGGCCATGCGCTACTTGGGACGTTCCTCCTAAGAGTTGGGTCCTACTTCTGTTCGCCATACCAACTCCAAAACCTTGGAGTGGCGAAGAGGCGCTCACCAAAGGGTCTGAAAAAGTGGATGCAGCGTTCGTCAGGCTAGCCAATTCAGAAGTTGGCATGCCATAGAGTGGTTCTCGATTTTGACCGCCTGTCATAAATCCTGGGGGAACATAAGGCCTGGTGCCTAGATTTCCCCTTGGTGGGAGAGTTCCCAAAGGCACTCTGGGGCCAGTGAACGGAGGTAATGGCCCCGTTATTGTGACCATTACTGTTGGTGTTGAACCAGCGGTTAGCGCTTCACTTACGGTTGGGATAACCGTTGTTCCCACATTCGTTTGTGGGATTTCGTTATTGTTTGGCGGATTCGCCATCGCTTCTCTTCTTCTGGCAGTATTGGTATTGTTAGCGTATATTCTACCACTTCTCAATAACATGCAATACTTCTCGAAAAAGATGATATTCTGTATATAAAGGTTAAACTTCAAAATCAACACAAGGTCCCACCGGGTGTGCCAATTTGTTTACCGTGGGAATTGGTAAACAACCGCTGATCTTCCAAAAGGTTACTTATTTGGTGACTCGCAGGATCGATCAGATTGATCCTAAGACATGGTTGATTTTGGGGTTTTGACTAAGTTTGATAATGGTTAAATGACAAGAAAATGAAGAAGCTTTATGTAAATTGCTTGATAGAATAAAAGGAAGGCTTAAAATGAAGGCTTCGACTGGAAAAGTAAATGAAGAGCAAGTAAAGTTTCTGGAAAATAAATGACATTGATTAATTAAAGTGGTGTTTCACACATACATTCTCAACAATTCTTTCGCTCACACTGGGTACTTGAATCTATATGAGTAACTTGTATATAATTGTGAACACATGCAAAAAACTGCGTGAACTACTAATATTTATACTAAACACATCCCAAGTAACCGTCGGGCAGTTGCGCTGCTTCGAGATGACTCCACTTGGCACGTTCACAGCGTTCGACGCTCCAGATCTTGGCATGTTGCACTTGGTAACCGCTGGGAACCGTTTTCCCTCCAAACGTTTGAATCTCAAACCGTTCCACTCTGAACAATCGAACACCTTCGTCGAGAAGCACCTTCGACGTCGAAGGCAACAAGATTCTTCCTTGGAAGAAATTCTCTAAATACATTGCCATCTTCTGATGAGTATTTCGACAGAACCAATCGGTCGAAACCATTCTTCAGCTTTAATGGCTTATATTAATAAAAACAAGGGTGTCGAATTTAGGAGCCAACAACCACATCCTCGGATCTAACGGCTAGTTACGGGCACACCTGCCCGGTATGACCAAGTATTGACGGTTACCTATTTTTGCGGACCCGTACATCCAGGGCCAAAAACAGAAACCAATGGCCATGCGCCGGGGGCATTATATAAACCCTCACATACGTGAGGGCCAGGTATCAAATATTTACTATTCACCACTAATACCTTGACACTTTGCTTGTATCGCTTTGCTCTCACTCTTACTTGATCGCCGGAGTGTCTTGCATGTACAACCCTTTTTTTCCTCCTCGACATCACAACCCGACTGAAGATCATCATCTGACAACCTTGCAGGTTCTGATCAACCGGTAAGATCAATTATGATACAAAGTTTTATAAGTAGAGTTTCATGACTCTTTTTACTTTACATGAGGTTAAACTTTTATAATTTATATGTGATGATGGACTGTCGGTGCAGTGATGGGGATCTTCAATGCGATAATGCATGAAGGATCGGCAAGATTAACACTCTATCGTTTAAGTAAGTTAAAGTGTCCATGATTAGTGAAGTAAAATTATGAGATCGGAAAAGTGTACCTTAACTCTCACGTGTGACAATAATAAATGAGAATCTCTTAATGCACCCTATGAGATGGAAAAGCACCATATGAAAAATCAAAAATGCCCCGCTATTTTCAAAAATACATTTTTGATCGCACCTTATTTATCATACACCAACGAGTAAAAATGTTTTCACCTTACAGAAAAACTTAAATTTTTTCTGGAGATACATGTTTGTAATTTTGATAAAATAAATTATCAATTGACCATTAATGAGAGTTATTCGGAGATGTATGTCTGAATAATTGAAGCGGGAATTTAGAATGTGTCACCTTTGTATGTCAGATTATTTCGAAGATGCTTCTCCGCAAAAATTAAATGTGTTATTGCTAAAAATATCCACTTGCATGATCAGACTTTGTTTCTTTTTTATTTCTTTTATAAACCTTCTCCAAAAACCAATCCATTCTCAATCAAGTTTTTTACTTCAAAACTTAATTCTTGTGTTTCATCAAATAAAAAGGAGCAAAAGTAGTAGGAAAAATGGAAGATTGGATTGTGAAGATCGATTAACACTCTCCATCCGTTGACAAAGAGTGGAAGCTTGAGTTCAACAACTATGAGTTGAAGACGACCACTGATTTAAGGGCTATGTGGAGAATATTTTTCCATTTAGAAAAATAAGTTCTGATCGAGATGAATGCGACTGTTGCGAGATTGGTCGATGATATTATCAAGATGTTATAGTGTCCACCTAGATATTGAAATTAAATTTTTATCTATACATGTTAAAATCTCTTATGTATTGTTTATTTTATGATATCAATGTTAGTTTTATTTTGTCAATATGTTGTTTTTCAATTCTGTTTTTCTGGTTCAACTACGTAACACTTCGGAAATATACCTCTAGAAGTTTTACGTATATACATCTTTGAAATAATTGTCTCATAAGTAAACGTCTGGTGCGTCCAAAGATACATCTCCGATATATTATTGAATTTTTGTGCAATGCTCTAGAGAACTATAGGATGCATTAAGAAATTCCCTAATTTATTTAGACTTTATTGGGCTAAATGATTGAACCTTACACGTATTGGACCTTTGGCCGACTCAAAAAAATATTAATAATGATATATATAATTTAAATAAACGATGACTTTGTTAATTTTTTAATATTTTTCTTAGAAGGTCATTTTAAATATTAGAACAAAGTCTTTAACTTATTTCAGAGGACATGATTTTTTTTATAGGTTTTCAAATTGTTACTTGTATTATTATATGAAATTTCAAACATACATAAAACACAATTTAGTGTTATTATTTTTATTAACTACCAAATACCATGTTGTAAATAAATCGTGACTAATAACTTGTTGGCGAAAAAATGTTGACTATCTCAAACCCTATTTAGAATACTTATAAATATAATAGAGTAAGCTGCTGGCGCTTCACAGTACTTGTTTCTCCCTGTGCGTTTTCTTTTGGTAACATCCCTCACCGATTGCCATCGACTTCAACGGTTGATAGGATTAGTGACCTTCCTGACGCAATTCTGTGTCACATTCTCTCTTTTCTCCCTACCAAATTAGCCGTCAGCACAAGCATCCTCTCCAAGAGATGGAAACCAGTATGGCTTTCTGTCACCACTTTTGATATGTTTAAATTCTTTCCATACCGTGTTCTACGCTCAGTCATGAAATCTCGTGACATCAATTTGCCAATACTCTTATTCCGACTCAAGTGTAATCCTTATGAATGTTGAATTGGAAAAGAGAAAACAAAAATGGAAATTGGAAGGATCCGCTGATTGTTCCGGAATGTCTTACATCTCACCTCAAAACTTGTTTGTTTAGATGTTCTAGAGGCGCAGAGTGTGAACTTTAATTTGTTGAATATGTTATGCCAAATTCAAAACTATTAAGTACCATCACAATTCACACCGCACCTTCCATAGATTTAAACAAAAACTATCAAATATTACGGAAATTATCTCTGTGTCCAACAAGCTCTCAACTTATATTTGATTCATGAAGACATAATTCTTACTTAAATTCTACAAATATGATCTAGGGATTTTATGATGTTTGAAACACTAAGAACTGTGCTTTATTTTGTCATGTAATTTTAATTCATTTTAGTTATCCTTTTCTTAGTCTCTTTTTATCATTTAATTGTTCTGCGTTATGTCAAAATGTTGTTCGGATTGTTATAAACTAACTTTGCTCTTTTCTATTTTTATAAATACTTGTATAAAGTTTGGATAAGGTGTATCAGATTTTAGTTTTATCATATTTTCTACTCTTTGGCTTGCCCAAGAGTTCAATTCAATTTTTCATGATAGTGTGTCCTAGGTTATAAATTTCAATACTAGAGTTCTCATAGCAGCTTCCTAGATTAACAATTTTAGATTTTATCACTCTTTCTCAATTATTTCATGCTAGATAATTGTAAATTAAAATTAAATATTTATAAAGGAATAGGATCTTGATGTACATCTGTACTAATAAAATAAAAATTAATATTTGACATATTTTTTACAAACCATTGTGTATAAAAAGTGAATACAGAAAAAACAGAAAGGTCAAAAGAGCAGCAAGAATAGAAAAAACAGCAAACCAAACACAAAAGAGAGGATTAAGGCAAACAAGCCATAGGGTTGGAGCACCACTGCTTCAAACAAAAAGCATGTTGACCAGAGAACTTTGCCCCAAGCCGATACTTTTGAGATAACAAACATGTCCTCCACATCAACTAACAGCCAAGAGAAAATGTTTCAGCATGCACAGAAAAACCAATTCAGTAAAAGGTCTTCCTCAAAACATGAGTTGCAACATCACAATGCAGGAAAAGATAGGGGATTGATTCATCTTCACAGAAGCACACAGGACAAACCTAATTATGGCGTGCAGAGAAAACCCTCTCCTGACCTGATCATCCTTAGTAGCCAACTGGCTTAGAAGTAATCTTCACCCAAAAAAAGAGAGTTTTGCTAGGAGCATTGGTCTTCAAAAGATTTACAACATAAGAGATACAACATCGGAGATCATCTCTTTACATTAGTTGTAAAGCGTGATCATCTCAAAAGAGTTTGGCCAACTACCTTTAAATTATTTGAGATGATCACGCTTTACAACATAAGAGATACAACATAGTTAGTCATAAGTTTTTGGAATACGTCAATAAACCTAAGAGATACAACATAATTTTTCTTAGAAGTTTTTCTATTTTAATTTCTATTATCGTTAAATATATATCTTTTGACATAATTATTATGTTTTAGTGTTTTTCTTTTTATTTACTATCTAATAACATGTGGTAGAATAACGTAACTTGTTGGGGAAAAAAAGAAGAAGCTAAAAGTCCACTATACCAAACCCTATTTAGAAGATTTATAAATATAATAGATTTAGTGAGTAAAGCTTGTTGAAAAGCGCCATATGTTTAACTCCTAAGCCTCCTTCATCTTTATGTTTGCAAATTGTTTTCCAACTGATCCAAACTATGCCACAGAAAATTCCTCTGTATTTTAATTATCTCCCCTACAACCTTAGCAAGCAGTTTGAAAAAAGATAAATAATATATAGGGAGATTAGTAACCACAGAGTTAATCAGAGCTACCAATAGACATGGCAACTAAATCTATTATATTTATAAATCTTCTAAGTAGGGTTTGGCATAGTGGACTTTTGGAGGAACGATACAGTCTTTTAGCTGACAGAATTCTATTTAAAGAAAAAGGATTGTTAGGAATGCTCGTGAGTCTATACAGTGGAAAGATTTGATGAAGATTGGGGATTTATCGGAGGCGGGTGGTTTTACGCAATTGCTTTCGATTAAATTAGGTGCTCACGATAAAGTACCTTTTTGGATTATGCATTGGATTGCAAATAGGCCACTGAGGCATGTCTTTCCAAACCTGTTTCTGGCAGTAGAGGATAGGAGTTACAGGGTGAGTGCTATGGGTGATTGGCTGGGCAAATACATGGAAATGGAGGATTGAATGTAATGCTACCGAAGAAAATATGGTGGCAGAGTGCGAAAAACAGAAACTTTTGGAAATTCTGGCTAAAATTCAACCAAAGCAAAATGTTCTGGATGAATATGTATGGCTGCTGGAGGGCCAAAATACATTTTCAGTTCGTTCTTATTATGCAAAACGGGTGCACGAATCAAACGAAGGGGAGGAGAATCCAAGGAACAATGAAGCGCTGAAATTAATTTGGAAATCCTGGGTTCCATTAAAAGTGAGGATTTTCGGTTGGCGTCTGATTAAAGATAGATTATCAACAAAGTTTCTGCTTGCGAAAAGAGGTTGTGGACATATTTAGTAAAAATTAAATGTGGATTAGTTGAAACCCTAATGCAACATTTACTCGGATAAATGTTGATGAGCAATAATTCATGAGAAACCATAGAAAAATAATGGTTTATAATTGTTTTGTAATATGCTTCGCTCAAGTTATAGTATGTAGATTATTATAATTACCGAAGCATAAGTTTGTTAGATATAGAATAGAAATATCCATTTGTAACAAAGTTATTATCAGTTTTATAACAATCATTCTTTCTTCTTTAGACATTTCTTTATACAATAATTCATTGTTCATGCTATATAATTTCTCTTGTTCAATTTTAGTGAGTTGTGTTTCATATCATTATTAGAAGCCAAATTTCCGCTGCGACTCTAACAATTGGTATCAGAGCCAATTGTAAAATTGTAGAGTGATAAAACTTTATTATTTTTATTGGTTATCGAAGATAATGACTTCTACTAGTGGAACCGTCAAGGTTGGGAAATATGAAATAGAGAAGTTCAATGGGAAAAATGATTTTTCCTATTGGAGGATGCAGATGAAAAATCTGCTTATATCACAAAAGTTACACAAGGCGTTAGCAGAACAGAAACCTGAGAGTATGAAGGATGAGGATTGGGAAGAGTTAGTTCTTGAAGCACGGACAACCATAATCTTATGCCTTGAGAGGGATGTTGCGTTCTTGGTTAATGAATAAGCAATGGTTGTTGGCATGTGGTCAAAGTTAGAGAAAAATTTCATGACGAAAACTCTAACAAATCGAATCTACTTGAAATCCAAATTGTATACATGCAAGATGGAGGAAGGAACCCCAATCCGTGATTATGTCAACAAGTTTGATAGGATTATATCGGACTTGAAGGATATAGGAGTGAAGATTGATGATGAAGACCAATCACTTATGTTGCTTCTTTCATTGACCAAGAAGTATGAAAATCTAGTTCAAACATTGATGCTTGTGGGTGATACTCTAACCATGGATGATACTAGAACATAATTATTAGCGGATGATCTTCGAAAGGTTGGTACTAGTGGGATGTCTAGTAATGGTGGAGAAAATAACGAACAGGCTCAAGGATTGCTTGTTACTAGAGGGAGGACTAATGAAAGAGGACAAGGCAGGGGCGGCAAGTCTAGATCAAAATCTAGAGCTCATGCGGAAAGAACGTGCTTTAAATGTGGTGAGCTTGGGAACTTTAAAGAAAATTGTCCAAATAAGAGGGTATTATTTAAAAATTATACCAACAACGGCAACAAATCCAAAGGTAAACTACAAGATTTGCAAGAGGCGAGTTATGTCTCAAATGGTGAGAATGATTGTTTCTCTGTCTCAGAGCAAGACCATGATATCTCCGGGATATGGATGCTTGATTCAGGAGCTTCACACCATATGTTCCCAAATAGGAAGTGGTTTACTACCTACCAAAGCACAGATGGTGGTACAGTTTTAATGGGGAATAACCATGCCTGCAAAATTATGGGGTATGGTACAATACGAATCAAGATGCATGATAGAGTGGTAAGGACTTTGATGAACGTGAGACATGTCCCTAATTTGCGGAAAAACCTTATTTCTCTTGGTGTATTAGAGGAAAACGGTTGCAAAATTATCTTGGAAAATGGAGGCTTAAAGGTTGTTCATGGTTCGTTGGTTGTGATGAAGGGGGTTCGTCACAGAAATCTGTATTTTCTTATGGGGGAAACTGTCACTGGTGATTTGGCAGTTGGAATCAATAGAAGTAAAGACCAAACTGAATGTACGAGGATGTGGCACATGCGCCTTGGGCATATGTCTGAAAAGGGTCTATCACTGCTTGGTGAGAAAAGTTTGTTGAAGAACATGGAAAAGCCATGCATGGAATTTTGTGAACATTGTGTGTATGGCAAAGCACATAGGTTGCGGTTTTCTATAAGCAAGCATAAAAGCAAGGGAATATTAGACTACGTGCACACTGACGTTTGTGGTCCGACTCCAGTTACTTCTAAGGGTGGTTCGAGGTACTTTGTTACATATGTTGATGATCATTCGAGGTATGCTTGGATTTACTTTCTTAAGCATAAGAATGAGGTATTTGATATTTTCAAGTGTTGGAAAGAAATGGTTGAGAACAGAACGGGTAAAAAGCTGAAAACTCTGCGATTGGATAATGGTACAGAGTATACAGATGGAGCTTTCAAGAGTTTTTATGATCAGGAAGGTATTGTTAGGCACTGGACGGTCAGAGGCACACCACAATAGAGTGGAGTCGCAGAAAGGCTGAATCGTACACTTCTTGAGAAAGCGAGGTGTATGCGCTCTAATTCTGGGTTAGGTCGAGAATGATGGGCAGAGTCGGTTGCTACAGCTTGCTATGTTGTAAACAGATCCCCACATTCGAGTTTAGGTGGAGACACGCCCTATAAGGTGTGGTCAGGTGAACATGCTGATTATGAAAAACTGAAAATCTTTGGATGCACGGCCTATTATCATGTCAAGAATAGTAAACTTGATAATAGAGCCAAGAAAGCTATCTTTCTAGGATATGCAACAGGGGTCAAAGGCTATCGCCTTTGGAGTATAGAAGATTCTAAGTTTGTGATTAGCAGGGATGTTACATTTGACGAAAAATCTATGGTAGCTTTGTCAAAAGCTATAAATCCTAACGATGGTGATGTGACGATATCAAATAAGCAAGTTATTGAGATAGAATCTGAAGACCAACCAGATTCTAGTCGTGGTCATGTGGAGAATCCTATCGCTAGTGAAGATGAGGAAGAGGATGAACTTGATCATGAGGAGGTTTAGCAGGAAAATACACATGTGTTACAACAACAACAGCAGGAATCTTTGGATACCACTAGGCCAAAGAGAAATTATAAACTAGTTCAAAAGTTTAGGTCAGACAAACCTCTGAGGCATTATGGGCAGGTTAACTTGAGGGAATATGCACTCTCAACTGAAGATGATGATCCGGTCACCTTCAAGAAATCTATCAAAGACAAAGATAGAGAGAGTTGGTTGGTTGCTATGGCGGAAGAGATGAAATCTCTTCACAAGAACAAGACATGGGAGGTGGTCCCATTTCCCGGGGAAAAGACTGCTATTGGTTGTAAATGGGTGTATAAAAGAAAAGAAGATCATACTAAGTCATGTGGTATAAGATATAAGGCTAGGCTAGTGGCCAAGGGGTTTGCACAAAAGGAAGGAGTTGATTACAATGAGATATTTTCTCCGGTGGTGAAACATACTTCTATCCGGGTGCTATTAAGTTTAGTAGCTCATGGTGATCTTGAGCTGGAACAACTAGACTTGAAGACGGACTTCTTGCATGGAGACTTAGATGAAGAAATATATATGTATCAACCTGAGGGTTACAAGTTTGAGGGTAAAGAGAGTCAGGTATGTCGCTTGAGAAAATCACTTTACGGGTTGAAACAATCTCCTAGACAATGGTACAAGCGATTTGATTCTTTCATGATAAAACAAGGTTTCTCTAGAAGTAGTTATGACAGTTGTGTCTATATTCAGAAGCTTCATGGAGGTGATTATTTCTATCTACTATTATATGTCGATGACATGCTTATTGCTTCAAAAAGCAAGGTGGAGATAGATAAGCTGAAGTCTAAACTTGGTAAAGAGTTTGAGACGAAGGATTTGGGCGCTG